CTAGGTGACCTTTTTAGAGTAAAAATACGTTAAAAAATAGGCAATTATACCATTTTTTAGATGTTCGAAAATCCTAGGAGAGGCAGGCAAGCAAGAAATTTTACAACTGAAATGTTCCGAAAATTCTAGATATCAAATCGTTTTCCGAACAGATATTTTCCAGAAATTGACGTTGGGTGCCCCTGTTCGGTGACACGGCAAGAGTCACCGAAAGGAGAAGGACTGATATTCCACGTATTCCATTTAAGATTTTTCATTAACTCTTTAAACCGTAGGACCAAAATTTGAATTCTCATTTGTTGCCTCTACTCATTTCCTACTGAAGTAGTGCGGAGACGTTGATGAAATATCAAGCGAATTTATCCTGTTTGATCATGTCCGCAATTCTCATGACCGCTCTCTTTTACAAAGCATTGATATTACAAGGAGAAATTTGATGCTGATCAGTCTTAGGGATTAACGATCTGATTTACAGCCTCTTCCTTGTGGTTTGTCCAGTAGATCAAGCCTCTAATGCCTTTCATCCACCTATAAGGTAAACACAGTAATTTGTTTTCACATTTATGTAGCTCCGTCGGGGGCAGGGGGGGGGGGTACTCAGCAAAGGTTTATACGGGGAGGCTGTTGTTAATAAACCCTCCGAGCAACAATAAACCAGTGCAAAAGTTAATTGCAAAATACGTATTCGACTGCTATGAGAAAAGAAGATCACTAGTTGTTTAGGTTAACATTGATTATAGTTCCACTAGTGTGCAATTTGTGTTATAATTTTGAATTATTTGGATAAAGTCGATATACATAGGACTGTATAAGACTCCAAATAAAACATTGTCTTGTCTTGGCTCCTCCCCGAGGTCCAACCCCTTACCCGTTATATACCATTCTTCACGAAAAAGTACCCATTGTATGCCTTCTTTTGACAAATAGTACCCTTGCATCTCTTGTAACTGCTGTAGATGTACTGTCTTTTAAATAGGAATCAATCACAAAAACAGAACGTTTTCTCGACTTTTTAAAGCCATAAAATTCATCTGTTAGCCCTTTGGGTGCTTTTACAGACCCAAATGACAGATTTCCTACCCTTATATAAACGTCAACGAGTAAAATCCCTACCCTTTCGTATACCTTAAGCCTGAAAAGGGTACCCCTTTCGGGCGGAGCCTCCCCGTAGAGGCTATCATAGGGAGTTTCCCTCCCCCCCCCACCTCCTGCCCGGGTGCCCGCATGTAGCAAATTTGATAGAGGTTTTTGCTTTGGTTCACTCTTATTTAGATTTAACCAGAGTTAACCTAAGAAATTTACTTGAACTTATTAGACCTTGGAGGGATCGAGGAGTGGCATGGGCGTAGGGGCGGGAAGCGCATGCGAGGCCCGCTCGCTTAAAAGTTAAATAACTTCAAAACCGTTCAAGCCATGCCTGCCACATTTAGCTTCAACAGCTTTTCCTAAAAGTTTATCTGGCCACATTTTAAAGTCATCGTGACATGTACGTTAACTTTGACGTGTCCATGACAACCGCAATCAAGATGATGGAAACGATGAGTACATTTATTCTGCGTAATTTTGGTGGTTGTATTATATGAGCGGTCTTAAAGTTATAGAGATGGGGCGTCCAAAGGCCCCCCGGTCAAAGGAAACAAAACTTTTTTCTTGTCTGAATAGGCGGTTAAAATGGCGAGGTTCCCAAATATATTCCAAGACCACTTTTTGGTAGCCTCCCACGCAGGCGTTTTTAGAAAAACGAGCTCCCCTAAAAACGCCTGCGTGGGAGGCTAACTTTTTAGGAAAGAAAACAAATTGTTTTTCTTTTCTGAATAAGCGATTTAAAATGGCGAGGTTGCCAAATATATTCCCTATTTCTTGTGCACATCAAGAAAAAAATATGAGGGAAAACATTTTAATTGCCGAAATTTAATCTTGAATTGTTTAAAAAATTAATTTTAAACTTCGCGTACATTCTTTCTAAACGTTGAAAGTTAGGTACGTTTATCCTCCTTCAGAAATGCCAATTTCTTTATCCAAACAAAGTAAATTCGCCTCCAATTCGCCATTTTCCTTCATTTTCAAGTTTTAGTCACGTGACCATAATTAAACATTAAGGCAAAAGAAAACCTGAATATTTACTTTTGGGAAAAATTCATTTTGTTCTAGCTCTCCTAGCGAGAGATATTGCTGTATGATCCGAACTCACTTTTGACCCATGCCTTAAACCCCTTGAAAACACTATCCCTAAAATTTATCAGCGAATCTTGACCAGTTATTCTAGAATTTGATAACAGCATCAGGACAGCATCATAGAATTTGATTTCGGAAGCTAGGAAAAAACAGTAAACCAAAGGAAGAAACAAAACGCATGCACAGTTTCGCTGCCACAGTAAACTATTAATGCGGTTATAGGTAACGTGGGGATTGCGGGGGCTTAAAGGGAATGTCGTCCGTACTTTAACTTGTGGTCGTTGTCTTTCGCCCTTATCTCGTAAGTTCTGCTGGGTGTCACGACATTAAAGCAGAACTGCTCTGTCTCCGAATCATGCACGTCTTCAACATCAGTGATCTTGCTAATATCTATGAATCTATAAAATGATTAAAAAAATTAATTAATTGGATACAAGGCTATCGTCCTCGATAGTTATGTAAACAATATGAAACTAGTACCTATAGTAAGAAAACGCCTTAAATACCGATTTAACCAACTACTGAAAGGGCTTTGAAAATGAAGAGTAAACTTTGCAACTCGGCAATCAAAAGGAGCACTTTCGTACAGAAACAAACTCAAGACAGTGCAAACCCTTTCGGCCAACTGCTCCAGTATGATGTTGGATGTGTGGGAACAATTTATTCCAGTCAGGAGCCCATAACCCGGAGCGAGCAGCTTCCATGCGCTCATGTCACGGCGTTTTCACGGACCAGTTTATCGCGTTCGTCGGAACGCATCCTAATCTGGTACTCTTGTGGTACAAGGGCAGAAATTTTCGAGCTATCACGGGCGACTGCCGATTAGCCGCCTCTATTTATTTTATCAGGGCCCATCTTGGCCGCAGGAAACTGGACTCCTTTGGCAGGGCAGGGGTTGGACTCGTTTTCGTGATTTAGTCTCGTTTTCGTGCAGATGTCATGCTCGTAGATTACGACGAACGCGGATCCATAAAGGATGATTATTACTAGTTTTTAGAACGGTTTTGGCAGGAATTAGTAAATATGTTTTAAATTTCACAAACCTACAAACCTAAAAATGATATTTTTGTGCATTTTAATACGTGTAGTTTTCTCTTTTTATATACCTTATACTTCGAATGCGCTCATAAAAATGGTCGAGATACTATTTTCGAAGGAAAAAGCGCCCTAAAGGGAACCAGCCCAAAATTACCTACAATTTTACTTCATACAGTGTTACAGAGGTGTTGCTAAAATTATGTGGATATAAATTTTCCCCGTCTAGTCAAGTTAAGATCTAGTCAAATACGAACCCTTTTGACCACCAAATCCTTCCAGCTCTCCAGTAATAATGAATTTTGCCATCATTCTCTTGCCTAAAATAGCGATGTCTCCAATTTCTTCCCGTGAGTCCGCTCACGCCCCGCTTCCAAAGAAACCCGTGGAGTGAAATCATCTTATTTTGTAAAAGAGACCATTAATACTTTTAAAGAAATGGTGATGGGGTGGAGAGGCGGGGAGGGGTGCGGAGAACGCCATGCCAGCCATCCCGGCCAGTGCATTTGCTATCTTAAATATGACCCTCACTATTTGCAATAGTTCGCGAGCTTAGTTTGAAAACTGCATATTTCCCTATCCTAGAGGAATCAAATCCTGCCAACGTACATGCCGCTTAAGTCAGTGAAAATATGATCATCTGATGATCAAACGAGAAGTCCAAAGACTACTACAAAGCTGATTAGAAAAACGTGTATTGTTTTTTCATAACAACATTTCGGCTGGCCAGCTTTGGAGTAGTCTTTGGACTTCTCGTTTTTAGTTCTTATTAATATTTTGGCTAATTAGACTCTCCTTTCTAGAGATCCAACGTTTATAAACAGCAAGATCTTCGTCCGCGGTTTGTGCAGTTTAATTTAATTCCATCTGATGATCTACATTTTAGCAAATGGATGAATTTACTAATAACACACTCACATGCCCATATTTATACATTAAGGCGCATTGAGACGTCAAATTTTAAGTCTATGAACATTTCTTTTTCTCTACACCTAATTATTCTACAGAGAGAGGCTTTTTACCCAGGTATTTTAAGAAACCCTTGAGTTTACCTTAAGCATGTGGACTCTTTCACAAAGAATTAAAGAATTCATTACACAATTAGTTACGCTAAAATCACGTGATTACCCCAAGAACTGATGAAGAGTTTCGTAAGTCCTTAAAATCATCCAAGTCAGATTCTGCCTTGTCGAGCTAGATAAGAAGAAAGAGAAAACAAAAGAATTTTTTTTAGAGATAACACGTTGCCGAGTATAGAATAAACAAAATTGTCTCTTGCTTACTTGATTTTTTAAAGTTGGGTAGATACTCACATATTAATATAAAATTATGACGTCCGTCGATGTCTTAACCTTCGGACGTAAATGCCAATTCATACCCCCACCGTGGTACAGGGGCCCACCGTGGTACAGGGGCGGAGGGGGGGGGGGGGTTGGGTGAGGGAACCTCTGCCCCAGAGGTTTTGACATGTTGCAGTATTTCGAAACGATTCTGCCTTTAGTGGAAAGCCTTCGATGTTCTCAACAAGATGAGGTATATTTTATGGGTGGTGGCGCTGGTGGAGGCCTGTAACGTCAACAACAATGGTCGCCATCTTGGATTTTACCAAGAATTATAAATCAGGTTAAAATCCCAATAAACGGTAATTTTTTGTGCTTGACATATAAAATAATACACAAATACAAGTTTTACTTTATTGTTGAAAAAAGATGAAAAAACATGCATTTTCACTCAAAAATGGCTTGACCACCTGCTACTTATGACGTCATGTCTTGTAACCATAGTACCTG